GACTCACGTACTTATTCCTAGAAAAATCAATTCCTAAACTTCCTCCAATCCTGCAGACTTGTTTGGATCCCTAGTCCCTTTTCTGCCCAATCTAATTGCTTCCTGACTCCCAGATCTGTCAGATCCAAATATCACCAAGGCAAGCCATATCCTCAATTAGAAAGATCCATAACTAGTAGTTATGTATTCATTAAGTACTCAATAGATTAATAGATGAGTGAATGAATGAAAGATTATCCACCAAGTGCTTAGTCTGTGCCAGGTACTGTGCTAAGTGCTAAGGATGCAAATAGAAAAGTGAGAAAGTCCCTCCCTTCAAGGAACTTTCACTCTAACCATGAAAGGGAGAAGTGATTCTGGCCTTACTAGAATGTAAATTCCTTGAGGGGTACTGCTGTCTTACTATTCTTAGTACTTAGCATAGTGCAGGCATATAGTAAGCACTTAATAAGTGAATTTTTTTTTTCATAAAATCATTCATTCATCAGCTATATGCAGAGGACTATGCTAGGTTCCAAGAAAGATACAAAGATTTAAAAAAAAAAAACTTGTCCTATATGAATTATGTTAATTACATGTACTAATGCTAGATGCCTGCAGTTCTAGTATAAATACTGTATATCGAGTTTCTGGATGTGCATTTTAATATGTAATTAGACATTATCTATCAATTTAGTTTGCTTGTAATGCATGATCAGAGGAGTTCATGTGTACCCTATGTAATATGCCAGGACTACAAATTATTTACTTGAGGGGATAGTAAGGGGAAGAATTCAGGGCACCTAAATGTATTTATTTTCTTTTTTTTTTCTTGCTGGACAAAATATAGTACCAAAGCTTTCAGACTTTGCTGCTGATAGATATATACAATAAAAACCAGGAAGGCTAGGTAGGTGGAGCACAAATGATATTGTCCCCTTAGCTTACCTTTTGGTCTGTCTCAAAATCATTTGCACGTTAAGCCAAATAGGATCTTGATTAGTCAATGAATCATTCATTCTTTTCATTGAGGAGGGTGCAAATTGCCTTCTCATCATGAGTGCGTTTATAAATCCCCCACAGAGCAGCAGCCATTGGCACACTGAAACATGCAGGATGTCCACCCTATATTTATGCTATATTATGGGTCCACTTCCTTTCCATGTCTCACCTTTGTTAAATCTTTAATGCAGCTTCTTTTCTTCATTTTTTCATTGGTGATGTGTTGTAGCTCACTTATACCCATTTTCTCTCTATTTCCCTTTGGGTGACCCACAAGTTTGATTCCAAGGAAACTATGGAATATCATGATTTTAGCCATATAGAATCATCAGAGGACTATTGGTGTTAGAAAGATGGGGGATTGTCTCAAGGAGAAGCTTATTGTCCTTGAAAGTATCATGCAGATTCACAGATACAGTCCAGCCTGTTTTCTTCCTCCTATTCAGTTCTGGGCCTGGATGACCGTCCATCTGCATGGTCTATCAAGATATTTGTACTGATACCAGGACTATGTGAATGGAATGTCCATCTAGCTCTTGCAATAGCCTTCTGCTTGATTTCCTGCCTCAAGCCTCTTCCCATGCCAGTGCATCATCCATTCACCCTGCAGTAAAATTGATATTCCTAAACCACACATCTTATCATTTCACACACATATACCCCTGAATTAATAAACTCCAGTGGCTCCCTATTACTTCCAGGATTGAGTACAAAACCCTCTCTTTGGCTTATAAAACTTTTCATAACATGGCCCCTTCCTGACTTTCCTGTCTTCTTACACCTTACTCCCCTATATGTACTCTTTGATCCAGTGACATGAACCTCTTGTCCCTCACACATGATAGATACTCCATCTCCCAATTCCATGACTTTTCACTAGATGTCCATCATTCCTAGAATGTTCTTCCTCCTCATATTTGCCTTCTGGCTTCCTTCAAGTCTCAACTAATATCTCACTTTCTGCAAGAAACCTTTCCTGGTTCCCCTCAATACAAACAGTCCTTTTCCTCTGAGATCCTCTCCAATACACTCTATATATATCTTGTATGTGCATTACTTTTGGCATGTTTTCTTCTCCATTAGACTATGAGCTCCTTAAAAACGAACTGGTTTTCTCTTTTTGGTATCCCTGGTCCTACCACAATCCCTAGCACACAGGATGGGCTTAACAAATGTTTCTCAACTAACCATATATCATAGTTTGGGCAATAGGCATTGTTCAGTCACTCAGTTTTTCCTGTATGGATTGGTGAGCTGAACCCCAGAGTAACTGTGAATCTCATTTAGGATGCTCCTCTATGTTTCAGGGCTTGATGTAATTAGCACAATGCCATCTGCAAAAAGGAGCATCTGGAGGGGACCTCATCATCATATATAGGAAATCCCTCTTCCATTTAGAGTCTGCACTGGATGCCCTCCATAGCAAGTGCAAACACATTTGGCAAGTATACGTCTCCCTATTTTACACCTTATTTGGAGCATTAATTATCAGAGAATCTCAGAACAAAGTCATCTCTATTATTGTTTCTATCAAGGAATCTTATATGATCTTCACATATAAATAAGAAACACTTTGGAGGAAAGCCTTTAAGGCTAAATTTTGTACTACCAAATTAAATGTTTTTTTTGGTAGTCAAATATTTGTTGACTTGAATTTAATAAGCATTTTCTCTTGCATGCATGATAGGAATATGAAGCAAATTTTACCTTCCTAAATTATGTTTAACTTCAGCTAATGGTAATTTTTGTTTTAATTTGTGAGTACATACTGACTTTACAGAATAGAGGAGGCATGCCAGGAACATATGGGGAAGTAAACAAAGGTAGTGTTAAAAATAAACAACATACAATGCTCAAATACTGCACGACACAATGGATAAAGAGATGGGCAAGGAAATAGAAAGACCTAGGCTCAAAGGCCACCTCAAATAGTCACTTACTGTGTGAATCTGGACAAATCACTTAATATGCTTCAGACAACTCTTTAGGACTTATCTACTAACTCTTAAATGAAATTCAGCCAATGTTGGTTCAGGGACTTCTCCAAGTTGACTAAATCACAAACCCTTCAGGTATTCATATTATCAACCAAAGAGAAAATATACACATAGAAATCTGGAGCATAGGCTATATATGAATATGATTCTAAAGTTTCTGACCTCCAAATTCCTACCAGATCCTCAAGAATATGGTAGAAGTCATGGCTGCATTATAATACATACAGACTGATGTCTATGGGCTATAGATAATTCCAAATAATCTGTGAAAACAGACAGTATTTTAATGGTTATGCTAAAATATGGAAGACCAAAGATTCTTGTTTCCTGAACCAAGAATAGAAATACTGGAATGTAAAGTAATTACTTTAGATACATACTTTATATATATATAATGCCAAACCTATTAAGATAGTTTGTGTATAGTACATGTTCAGAAAGTGTGACCCATTGTGCCGGGGTAGTAGTATAAGCTTAAATACATACATTGAGTAGCAGAATGTTTGCATACTATTAGCTAATCTTTTCTCTCTTCTTAGATCTTTATTATAGTACTGTGTTCATCTTGGCGACCAATTCCAGGAAGATCCAGAGAAGTTGGAGATGATCCAGGGAGTGTAAGACAAAAGGAAGTCAGTTTATTTTGCTGGTAAAGATGATAGAAAAAGCATTTAATGAGTCAAAACATAATGGGCCACAGAAGCAGCTATTCTATGCCTACTGAAAATAGGACAAAAGGAACATGTTTAAAGTGTTTTCTGAAAGAGGTATTTGAATTAGTTTCCAAGATGTCCTAATTGTAAAGGTTAAGATACACTGGATTGCACCAGCAGCATGAAAGGAAGGTTGTGGAATCCTCCTCTTTGGTTTTTGAAAATTGAAGAGTTTTTATTACTCTGGATTGAAATAAAAACCAGTGAATAACTTAGGGCAGGTTACCCTAGATCTAAATCCTTTTCCAAGGATTTTTTTTTTGATCTGTAAATATCAACCCTGCTTGTAAATCCTACACTTATTACATATTTTTTCCATGTTTGGTAAGAAACATTTTTTTCCTGCTGAGAGTATAAGTCCAGCACTTAAATGCGTTTTATGAAATTTGATGTAGGTCATCTTTTGGATTGTATGGAAGCTAGACTTTTGTGTCTCTTTCTTTATTCAAGCACAAGCATAATTGGGCTTCCTGGAATAACAGCACTTGCATATTTTATGCTCATACAAAAAATCTGAAATCTGGACTGACTTGATCTTCCAATAAAGGCCATTAAAGAAGTGGATCCCCCTCCCCCTTTTCTGTTATTCAAAACAAAATATGTGAAAGTACAATGCTGGCTGGAATTTAATTTATAATATAATTAAATACAAATGATATAATTAGTTATTTGTCATGGGGATAGAAATTGAAATGAAGTGGTTGAGTCTGATTGGAAATCCTGAATGTTACAGGCAATTACAAATACACATTTAGTTACTCTCTCCTGGTGATTTCCAAATTATCTGTTCAACTTGAAAGCATTTTATGACAGCAGCAAGTTTTTTAACTAAGATACTTATGCATATCATTGAAGTCAATATTAATATAAAATGCAAAGATAGATTAAAAAAAATTGCACACTGGCTTGAAAAATAAAGGGTATAGAAAAAAAGCTAGTCACCAATGACCTTAAACAGAAAGCTGTGAAGCCAACATGCATATCTAGCCAAAATGAAGTAAAATCAAGATAAATTCATAGAAATTAATTATTAGGCAAATGATAATTTCCCAAGATATTTAAAAGAACAGAAGAGGGAAAAAGAGCAATAAGAAAAAAAGCATCCATAGGAAAACAAAATGTTCATGTGATTTTCTTTCTCCATCAAAATGCAGTTTAATGTTCATTGCTGTACTCATTTTAAGTATTTTCAATCAATATTTTTAAAGTGAATAAGAATAGGCTAGAAAAATGTGCAAGGCAGGTAATCTTGGAACAGAAATAGACTCTTTCAGATGATTAGAAGACGAAAAGCAGCAACAACATTTACCATTTGCTTCCTCTTGCGTTTTAGGCTGATGGTTTATTTGCATTTCTGCAAACATAGAAGTGAAGTGCAGTTAATAATAGACCTGTCTGATGACATTATAAATGGGGAGGGGGAAAAGAATATGAGTTTAACTCCTTAATGACTTCAGAGTGGTAAAAATGGCGACTTTACCCTGTGAGAATGGAACTTTGTGACTACTGGACACTACCTCCTAGAATTCCTCTAAACATCTGCAGAAGGAGTTAACTGGTTCACAACCTCCACTCTATCTTCCCTGGAAAATTCTGCATTATTTTTCCAACTAAGTAGATAGAAGGCAATAAGGTATATGCCCATGGAAAATCAGAAAATCTCCCCAGGTTATTTTGTTTTGTTTTGTTTTGCTTTGCTTTGCTTTGGGTTTTTTGTTTTTGTTTTTGTTTTTGTTTTTTTAAGCAGGGGAGATAACTATACAAGATTATCTTTGTAATCTTGGCTTAAAGCTTGGGGACTGTGAAGAATGAAGGATAAGTAGAGGGAGGGAGTGAAAGAGCATAGATTAAAAAACATGTGAAGTATGAAAAAATGGACTGTTATGAATCCCATGTTCCTCACCCTGGATTTATAGAAAACTCACTTGTCTTCCAGGAGTAACTTCATAAAAGAACCCCCAGCTCCCTTCAAGGTTCAGCTCAAGTGCTACCTCCTACATGAGACCTTTCCTTAGTCTTCCGATTGTGATTTTTATCCAAAAATTTCATATGCATATATGCATGTGTATATATGTATATACATGTATACATGTGTATATATGTGCATGTGTGTATGTATATGTTTATGCATTATGTTTTGAATTATAGATTGTGTCCATATATATACTTGTACGTGTATGTACGTGCACATACTAATAATATAAGCATATTGTGCACACACAAGCATATATGTATAAATGGGTGTATGTTGGAGAAGGAAATGGCGAACCACTCCAGTATCTTCACCAAGAAAACCCCAAATGTAGTCACAAAGAATTGGACATGACTTAAAACGACTGAACAACAAAAATGCATTTATGTGTATATATGTGTGTGTAAAATTTTGGAAAAAAAAAACAAACATATGTGTGTGTATCATTCACTCATCTGCTTACATGTTATATTTCCCCAGCAAAATTTAAGCTTCTTAAGGGCAAGAACTGTTCCCTTCATATCTTTGTGTCCCCCATGCTGGTACCTAACCTGGCACTTAGTAGGAACTTAAGAAATTCTTCTTGAATTGAATGAAATTGAACAAAGATGTTATACTCTATCAAACAGAAATCCAGTAGTGAATAGGGTGATATTTTTAGGATATTGATGATGACAACACGATTTGTGCTTCCCATTACCATACTTACCCTGAGGATAAAGTTCTATTTCTGAGTGAATTATGCCCTGGGACATAAAAGGAAGCCACCTGAGAAAATAGAAACCAAATAAGGAGGAAAAAAAGGAGAAGAGAAAGAAAAGGGAGAATGAAGAGAAGGCAAATGCAGAGGAGGAGAAGAAAGAGAAAATGTTAATTGTCTTTTATGGTATTATTACATGAAATGACCCCACATTCATTTTGCATGCTGATCGTCATTATAAAAACAACTGCCTTTAAAAATCAAACCCAACAAATTGAGTCAATTGCCCGTTGTGAATAGTGCTGTTTGTGTCACAGCAATGGCTTGCAAGATGAAATGTAAATATTACTTTGCATATTTCTGTTTAATATTTAAAATATCTAGATTTCTGATCTAATCAACCATTAACTTTTAATTCTTCCACATTCCACTCTCCAGAATAAGTGATCTCTCTAATGCAGGCACAATGGTCTTCACATTTACCCATGAATATCCCTTTTTCATTCTTTGTAGGCAGTAAGTGATGTAGTAGTTAGAGTGCTGGGCTTGGAGTCAGGAAGAGTTCAAATCTGGCTCTCAGACATTCATTAGCTGTGTGACACTGAGCAAGTCATATAACCTCTATTTGCCTCAGTTTCCTCAACTGTAAAATGTGGATAAAAATAGCACCTACTTTGCAGGGTTGTTGGGGGATCAAATGAGGTATTTTGAAGTGCCCGGCACATAATAGGTGCTGTATAAATATTTATTCCCTTCCCTCCTGGCTGTAATGACATCTTCTTTAGACTACAATTCTCTGGATCCAAATCATACTTTAACATCCAGCTGAAGCTTTTCCTGGCCAAGCACTAGTCAAATATTTGTCGGCTGATTAAAATTTAATATAGTGCCCTGGGCACTCCTCTCCTCCTTCTCTTTTCTTCTTCTTAAAAAGCAAGTACCCTGGATTCTCCATTAACAGAAAATATTGAAAAAGCAGACTGGAGAGCCAAGAGAGAATCCCAAGCACCAAAGACTTCTTGAAGCTAGGGTTCTATAGCTAGTCATTCCCCTTAGATTTTCTCCAGGTCAATGTCCTTGGAGACTTCAGAGGGCCAAATTTGCTCACTTATAATTCAAGGGAAAGCTTTAAGGTCTCTGCAGAGCTGACAAGTTAATGATTTTTTAAAATAGTCTATCAGATCATCCTCTAGGCACCATTCCTTATCACCAGCCCAGAATAAATCTTTTACTTATTCTGGGTGAGTGGCTATTTTTGGAGTACACACATATGTTTTGTATAAGCTGCCGATAAGGAATAAAATGGTCCATTAAAGGGGAATCAGAAAATGGATTAAAACATAAATGTATTATATTCATACACATGTATGTGTTTGTTTATTCACAGAATTTGCTGAATCCCAAGAGTTGGAAGGAATCTGAGAGGTCACTTAGTCCTACCCATATAGAAAGAAAAATCCCCTCTATAATATCCCTGAAAAGTGGTCTCTAGTCTCTACTTTAAGACCGCTAGTGAAGGAGCACTCAGTACCTCCTGAGGCAGCACATTTCCCTCTTGGGCAGCTCAAATTGTTAGTTAGTTTTCTCTTACATTACCTGCCTTCATGTTCCCCCAAGGCTTCTTTTCTCAAAACTAGACATCCACAGTTCTTCAAGTGATCCCCATGGTTTCTAATGCCCTTATTGTTTACACATGTATTTATGTATGTATGCATATGTGTATGTATATGTACATATATATATATATGAACTCATAGAAATCTGTGCCTCTAGAAATAAAAACACACATAAAACTATCTATAAGCTAGACATTCTCATTTCCAAAACAGATTTACTAGATTCGAAATCAGGGATGAATTGCCCAATATGAGCCCTACATCAGATCTGAAGGTTATCTACAAGGGTAAAGCATTAGAGCAGGAAAATTCTCCTAAAGCAAAGCAATTGAGCAAAGTCCCTGATAAATCAGAATTTTCAGGATTGACGATGACCCTGGAAGAGTTCAGGAAAGCCGGGAGCATGCTGGAGCTTGGTGATCATCTCCAGAGATTCTTTCACCCACTTATAAAGGAATATTTGCTTATCCATAAGCCCCCTAGGAACTTTTCCCCTAACCTGTAGAGGTAGGAAATATCAAAATAAATGCCTGAGAAAGATCAGGAAATTTCCCCATAAGAGTTTTAAGACTAGGCTAGACAATCATAGGATGTTTCTAGCAGCATAGTAACTAGCTAATTTTGTGCCTGTGGCAAAAATATAAAATTGCCCCCCCATCCTAATGTTATGGCATGCTTAGGATAGTAGGCATGTGTGTATTATACATAAATACACACACACATATAACATGTCTGCATATGCAGACATGTTATATGTGTGAGTGTATGTGTGTGTGCATCTGTGTGTTTGCATGTGTATGCTCCTGAGCTTTGCACACTTGAAGAATTTACTTCACATGCCTCATCTTTGTTACAGCTCTGGCTTTCAGTATAATACTGCTGTATAGTTGGGCTGGAATGAGGCCAGAGGAGCGGTGGTAGATCAGAAGAAGTGAGAAAATGGATCCTGGGATCACAGGATCATAGATCTAAATTTAAAAGGGACCTCAGAGTCCAAATGCATTCATTTTACAGAAAAGGAAACTGAGGCCCAGGGAACTAAAGTAACTTGCTCAAAATCACACAAGTAATAAGCATGAGAGGTGATATATGAATCCAGGTACTCTGACTCTGGGCCACTGCTCTTTCCGCCGAACCACACTGCCTCCCTGGGGAAATTAAAGGATTTTGAACTAGAAGAAACTTTGTACATTATCTAATTCAACCCCCTCATCCTACAGGTGAGAAAACCAAGGTCCAAGGAAGTTGAATGACTTGGCTGTTTTCTACTGTAACCACAGGTGGAGGAAGTGGGGGGTGGGGGGAGGAGAGAACAGATGAGATCATCTCTAAGGTACTTTCAGTCCAAAAAACAATTTCATAACTGTGAGAACATCTTAAAGTCAAGCTAAATACATGAGTAACAATGCTCTAATTCCCCACCCCCACCTAGACAAGAGCAAACCAACTGTGAGCAGCGGCTGCCATCCCTGTGCCTCATTCTGTCAATTTCCCACCATCACTACTTGTCAATTTCACACCAAGGAATAGCATAAACTGACAAAGTACAGAGATCTGCAGCAGCACAAATACATGCTCAGAATAGCAAGAAATTATTAATAGTGGCCTCTTTTGGAAAAAAAAAACAGCAAAGTTAAATGATAGCTCACTGTCTCATGATAATTTTTTTTATTAATATTCTCTTCTTCCACTAAAGAAGTTGTACTTTGCACTTCTTTACCATCTTCTGTTCAAATCCTCATATGTTCCTAAACATATGTAATATATTCTTAAATGTATTACAACACCCTGAAATATATTACCCATTTCCCAGAAGTGGAAACTGAGAATTATTCTGAATACAAATATGCCTTTTAATTTCCTCCTCTTCTTCCCTTCCTTTTTTACTTTCATTAAAAGTTTACTGAGTATATATATGCAAGGTACTGTTCAAGGTACCTTGGAAGATACAAAGAAATAGTTCTTGCCCCCAGAGAAGCACACATATCATAGCTCCCCTCCTTAGGAAGATATGAATGAGAATGATGCAAACAAAATCTTACTGGTGTTCAGTTAAAAGAATATTTCTCATTTGGGTGTTCAGGGAAAATGTTACCAAAGAGATGTCACAGTATGGATGGGAGAGCTCTCTGGCTATGCCTAAGAGGCAGGACTTTCTCCTCTAGTTCCATCTAGTTTGCTACCACTTCACTCCATTCAGCTAAAAGGGGAGAGGTTTGTCCTCCAGTACCCTCAAAGGTTCTGTGGCTCTATTTGACTCATTCAGTGAGTAGCTATCTAAGTGAGTCTACCTTCAAGTTTTAGAAATCTGCTTTGGAGGGTTATGGGATCATTCATTAAGAAAAAAAAAAAACAAAACCCTAACTAAACCTTAGCTCAAAACTTCTCCCATGTCATCTGACCAAACTGCAGACTCTACTAACATCAGTTTGTGAAATAAATAACCCCTTTGAAGTCAGGTTCTGTGCACACTCTAATCAAATTTTTAAAGATAAAACTCAGCAAATCAATGAAGAAGGAAGTCCTTTTGTTTAGATGAGTTAAGCTTATAGAAGAAACACCATAGCAACTGAGAAAGATAGAGGGAAAGAGAAAGGAGCCACACCCTCAGCCTCTTGACTTCTGCCCTGAGGGGACAAAATCCACTACAGCTCAAATATTTCTTCAACTCTGGATGCTGCCCTCCAGTCTTTCTGTGATTGATGATGACACCGGCCACTCCCAGGAAAACTCATAGCTCTTAACCTCATTTTACCTCCTTTCAGAGGAGTAGGGTATAGGGTCAGCTAGTTACAATTCTCAAGAGGTCCAGATGTCATTTAAATGATTTGCCTCAGTGAGGCACTGAGCCCTTGCTGCACCTTCAATTTAGCAGAGATAGAAGAAGCATATTTCAAGTAGAAGGAACAGCATGAGCAAAGGTGTAATACTAGCAGCATGCATACTGTGTTTGGGGAAGGGCAACATTGCTGGAATGAAGGGTTTATGTAAGGGAAAAGTAGGGGCTGAAGCTACAGAAGTAGGTGGAGGGCAAAGTTTAGGAGACTTTAATATATTTGGATTTTAAATTATCATCACAAATAACTATTAGGAAACGTTGGAATAGGGAGCAAAAGTACCATTATTCATGATTATAAATAAGTGGGGGGGAAGCAGGAGAGGTGAACAATGGAGTTGAAAGATTAATTCACTCAAAAGTTACTTATTAGACACCAGTTAAGTGGTTGCAATAATAGTAACTCGTATTTATTTAATACTTCACAGTTTGTAAAGCTGTACTTCCTCACAAGAGTTCTGTGAGATAGTTCAAGTGTTAATATCCCCATTTTATGGATAAATGATAGTAATAATAATAGCATTCATATGGAAAGTACTTTCCATGTGTCAAACCTATGGGATAGGGGTATTAGTATTCATATTACATATGAGGAAACTGAGGCTGAAAGACGGTG